GATGCTAATTGACACATTCTCAAGAATTCATAACAAAAGCCAAAGCAGCTCGTGTCTGTTGGAATAGTTAGGGACTTAATTCTTGGTAAATCTTTTTACAGTTTCTTTCCTTTGCAACTCTATAGAACAGACTTTTTGTGTTGCTACTTTCTCAATATCTAGAACACATCCATTGTAATGTCAGAAATACTACAAAAAAATGTTATATTATTTAATTAAATTATCTTCTAATTAAATTTTATTTTGTAATTGGACAGTTTGGACGGATTAAAGGTAAAAGCATAAACCAAACTAATTATACCAGTTTTAAAATTTTAAAATTCAAACAATCCAATTTTATATTGATTTGAATCAATTTTTGATTGGATTGAATTAGTTTAAGTTGGATCATTCAAATTGAATTGGATATATGAACACCCCTAACTCTAGAAATTTTAGAGCTAACTAGCAATTTTGAAAATTATTTTTATGATTTTCCTTTTAAAAATGACCATTTTATACTACTTTTTAATAATTTTCTATTATTTTAAACAAATATTAAGGGGAACTTTTTCCTATATATGTACTAAAATTTTCAAGTCCAATATTTACTATTTGACTAAATTTAAATATATATTAATTTATTAATTAAAATTTACTAAAATATTAATGTATTAATTTTCTTTTCTCCATCAATTCTTGCCTTAAACCCCTTTTGCCATTGCACCTAGACCTAGGCCTTGTGGCCTAACGAACTATAAGTCAACTTGTAAAGGTGCTTTGGATGGGGTTCAAATCCCCCCACCCCTTTTGCCATTAAAATGACAATAGAGGCCTCATTAATAATAATAGAGAATTTAGGTAATGACAGACACACCATATATAATTCATTTGATGAATGTCTTTGTAAAGTGTGAGCCCCTCAGCATTTGTTGAATAAGGCCCCAATGCACAGTATCATTGATTTTTCTAAGATCCATTTTAATCATGCATGTAGCACACAGATCCATTCTTCCCATATCAATTTCTCACAAGGTCCTGAAAGATTAAAACATTAGACAAAATGCTCCTACCCTTCACAAAGGACAGCTACTAATCAAACCTCCCAAAACCATTTGCATACTATCAGTGATAATCTTTGTAATCACTTCTTAAATGACAGTTCAACAATAGGTTTATAGCCAACAACAACATTAGGTCAGTTTTTGAAACCAAGGTAATGTTGGTAGAGTTAATCTTTCCTATCAATTTATTAGAAAAATTAATCCAGAATAGTAGCATAGACATCCTCTTTTATCAACTCTGGAGTGGCTTTTTAAAACCAGATTAAAATCCGTCTAGTCTTGGTAATATGTCATCAGGAATAAAAAATGAACCTAGTCAATTTCCCTCCTTGCTCACAAGTTGACCCAACCAACCCTCTGATTTGAAGACACTATCTTCAGATAAACCCTTTGAAAAATGTTATAATCAATTTTCAATAGGGTTGTGTTTTCGTCACTCAATATAACTTCAAATAAAACCGAATAAACTCACATGAAGTATCTTCTTAAGTAACTAATTTTAAATTTACTTGTGTTAGTATACACTAAGACAATATTAGTTGCATTATAAATTTGATTATCTTAAATTATTTTTTCTAATAGAGCATGATCAAAATTGTGGGGACATCAATAGTGTTGTATGCTTTTACCCTAGATCGTGAAATCACTTGGGAGGTACCTTATTCCTACCATTTTCTTTCGGAATTAACTGCATGTAATGCCCATTAATTAATTATTAAAATAAAAAATTAATAATTAGAACAAGTTAATACTAACCAAATCACATACAGAGGAATTGCTCAAAGCACACTTTCTATTAAAACTCTTTTATGTGCCTCCAAATTGTACCAAACAAGAGACAACAACCAAACATTCAATTACTAGTAACATCTAACATTTATTATAACAATGCTTTATTTTATAGTTTAATCTACATCAAATTATAGAATAAGAGCTATTGGATGGGGGTAAGACTTCCAAAACTAAAGAGTTTATTTCCATCCAATAATTAGAATTGTACAATTCGATACAATCTAAACTGTATGATACATTTTCCTTATTATAAACTCTTTTTTTTTTTTTATCCTTTTTTGGTTCATTTCCAAATGAACAATTCTTAAAGGTCAAAAGTATAAAATAAGAGAAAGTATGGGTGCTTAAATTAAAATAGGTGTTTTTTATTTATATAAAAATAAAGGGAATTTTTAGTACGTGCCTATGCACAAAATAATAATATATTTATTATACTTTTATAATTAATTTACATAAATAATCAAAGTAATTTTAATTTTATTAATTATTTAATTTAAAAAATATAACATTAGTAATAAAAATAAAAATAAAATTTTATTTAATTTTTTTAATATAAATCTATATACATAAAACGGAAATCATAAAAGAAAATTTTGACAGGTGTCATCTTAATATATTTTCGGGAAAGTGGGTATCAGTCCTACCTCTCAAAAAAAAATTGGAGTCCCAAACTAAACGGCGTCGTTTTCCTCTAAAAGCACAGCCCTGCCGTTCGTCTTTTCTCTCAAAAATCCAGCCCCTGCTCCTCAATCATCTCCATCTCCTTCTTTGCCCCTTTTGCAATCATCTCCATCGCCTCCTCACCTCTTCACCCAAAAAGCTCACCAGTAATGTTGCCCCCTCTGCAATCATCTCTATCTCTCCCTTTCCCCCTTTTCCCTCATGTGAGGTTGAGGCGATTAGAAGCCAAGAGACTTAACCACGCCTCCTCACGAGCTCGAAGTACCATAGAACAAAAGAAATCGAGATTTGTGTTCCTTTGTCACACGAGCTTGAGGGAGTTGCGAACTAATTTATTTGGGTTTTGCAAGTTTGGTTGCTGTGATTTTGGTTATAATAGTGTTGAAATTGAATGATGAGAATTGAAATTGCAATTTTAGTTATAATAGAGGAAACCCAGATCTGGGTTTGTTGTTTTCAAAGATGCTTGAGTTCTGCTCCTCGTCTTTTCCCTTTCTCGAGTTCTATTCACAAATTGAATTTATGAGTTTTATTATCATTATTATTATTATGTTGTTTTCTTGGCCGCATTTGATTATGGATTGAAATATACTTGTGCGTTTAATGTGAAATTCAAGTTTGTTTCATTATAAGAACAAGAATTTTTATTATTATTTTAGTGTTGTGAAAAGATTACTGCAAATGGGATGATTGCAGAGGGGGCAACATTACTGGTGAACTTTTTGGGTGAAGAGGTGAGGAGGCGATGGAGATGATTGCAAAAGGGGCAAAGAAGGAGATGGAGATGATTGAGGAGCAGGGGCTGGATTTTTGAGAGAAAAGACGAACGGCAGGGCTGTGCTTTTAGAGGAAAACGACGCCGTTTAGTTTGGAACTCCAATTTTTTTTTGGGAGGTAGGACTGATACCCACTTTCCCGATATATTTTTCTATATTTATAATTTTTTGACTTGCGTCCGATCTTTTCATTTTGAAAAAATTAAATACTTTTGTTTCTCTGATGTTTCTTACTAGTACCGTCTCCCCTTTCTCCGATCATTCCCATTCAATCCGATCAGATCGATCCATGGCAGATGAGTTCAATACAAGCACTAACTTTTGAGATTCTTCCTTCTGCACCGCCTTTGATGCCGGATCCTCTTCGTGTGGGCTTAACATGCATGGGCAGCTTTGTGTACAGAATGTCAGAAACTGAGAGAGGGAGTGGATTTCGGGTCTAGAGGTGTTCGTAGGACATTATCCTGGATCGCACCTGAGCTTTTAAGTGGTAATTGGTAAAAGTAATATGGTAACTGGAAAAGTACTATTATACATTGTATGCCAGAATGTAGCTGTACGTTTTCTATTTGTTTTTTTTTTTTTGTTAAGCTATTTTAATTTTTCAATTTATCTTTTATTTTTTCCATGCTGTAGATATATGTTCATTCTTTTGGGATTGTTACGTGGGAGTTACTCGCAGGGGAAGAACCTTCTTCTTATGCTGGTATGCAATGTGCCTCTATGATTGGTAAGCATCATGTTATTATTAGATTATATACTCTAAATGACTCGCTAAATAATGTCTTGTCTTCTTGATATCTTTGCATAGATTCCATATCATGATGACCTTCAAGGGCTTACTGTTCACTTGAAACGTTCGCTTGAAAGAGTGATTTTGCTTTTGTTTTGTGATCTAATACATAGATTTTTACATGAAAGTTTGTCAATATTTACTTTTGAATACAGTATGTTAATAATCATATGAGAATCTTTTTCTATAACAGAGATTGCTATCATAGAAAAATTATAAAAGCATTAACCTTTTACTTCCCTGGTATTTTCCATTTCCATTTCCATTTCAAATGGTCTAGCTGTTTCTTTTCCCAATGTTTGATATTACCCATTCCTTTTATTTCTTTTTTCCTTTTATTACATTTCTTAGAAAAATAGAATAATGAATGAGTTTTAACTACTTACTTCCCCAAAACATGGTATTCATGTTTTCCATTTTCAAAGCTTAGACTGTTTCTTTCTCCAACCTTTTCATATTACCCATTCAAAATAGCTTGGGAGTTGAAAAGGCCTTTATGTCTGTATATAATAGCTGAATCATGTATGTATATAATAGCTGAGTGTGTCTCCTCCGAACTATATGTTTTTGCTTAATATTAGCGATTTGTTTCCATCTTGCCTGGGAGTATTGATAAGATTATTGTCATCTATATCTATATATTAAGAGAGTAACCATTGAAGTCAAGTACACTCTCAATTATTAAGAAATAAAAAATATAAAATTTTGAGAAAAAAAATGTAACGTAACAGTAAAATAGCTAATTATATTAAAATAATGTAGTATTAACTATTTAGAATGTGACAATAACCCCATTCTTTTTATGTTATATCTTACTATCTTTCAAGTTTTATTAATACCATTTCATAAAATTTGAATAGTGATTATATGATATTTGTAAAATTAAAGAAAGTGTGAAGTTTCACCTTTTTTTTTTCCCCAATAATATTAGAGCAACTCATGTGGAGAGAGTTGGGCATGAAAAATAAACAATGTTAGCACAAAGCTCAGCATAAAAAAGTCTTCTTTTCTCTCTTTTATGGGGTGATGTTATTATTACACCCTTAATTATTAATGCCACACTTTTTTATTTTAATTGACTATTATACATTTTAATTTATTGAGAAACAAAAATATAAAATTTGGAGAAAAAAATAAAATATAAAGATATAATAAACAATTACATTAAAATGATATGATATTAACTATTTAGAGTGTAGTAATAACCCCCTTTTTATGTTATATCATTCGAATTTGACTAATACCATGTCATAAAACTGTACTTCTATTTAGTCATGTTGCATTAGAAATCTATTCTATATCTATCTATCTATAAAAAGAGAAATTGATGAGAAAAATCATGTCACGTACTAAATTTTTATGCAATCCTTAATTTATGGTTCTTTTGACACATGGCAAAACTTTCTTTATTTAGTATCTTTTTTTACAATGGATTATTTCTTATGTTGTTGTTTAATGAGATGAGTTATTATCAAAGTCCAAGATTACGGTAAAAAAAAAAATTCAAATCCAAAAAAAGTTAATTAGTGCTACTTGACTACAATACCCTTAGTGCATATTTGCTATTATTTTTGTTAATTTAAATGTCTTTTTAAATCAAAAAATTAATAAAAGAGATAGATTATTTGGATGAAATTTTATGAAGAAAATATACACTAAAATATTTAATTCATAATAATAAAAGAAAAGCTATTGGATTTTTTTGCTATACTACTTTTCAAATTAAGCATTTTTTAATTTTAAGCTTGATTTTTTTAGAATTTAGTAAGAATAATTTTATATTTCAATATTTAAGATTTAACATATAAAATTAGAAATTTAAACTTTAGAATTTTAGATTAAGCATTTAGTTTTATAGGTTTAGAATTTTAAATCATAAAATTTTAGAGTGCAATAATAAGAATTTAAAGGTTGAAGCTTTTAAAATTAATGATTTAAAGTTTTAGGATTTAAATTTGTTAATAGAAGGAAAACATATGAATGTGATACATGACAAAGTTTTCTCAATGGTTTTTTCTTTATAATATCTATAGATTTTATTT